GACTACTCATAACCACAGGTAGTTCTCAACTTGCAACCATTCAGTTCGTGACCGTTCCAAGTTACAACGGAACTGAAAAAGGGACTCATGGCCCGTTTTCCACACTTATGACCGTTGCGGCTTCCCCAGGCTCGCAGGTCCAACATTTCAGGATCTCGGCAACCGGCTTGCGTTTATGACGGTTTTACACTGTCCTGGCGTCATGGTGTCCCCTTTTGCGACCTTCCCAGCCAGCTTCTGACCATCAGCGGGGAGAAGCATGATTCACTTAAGAACTGTGTCCAGAAAAGGTCATAAAAAGGGGCGCAACTCGCTTAGGGACTGTCTTGCTTAGCGACAGAAAATTTAGGGCTCGATTGTGGTCAAGGGCTACCAGTAACTGTGCCTTTTTGCCATAACTTTTTTTTGTATTTCTGTTTGCTGGTTTTTTTGTGAGTTTCTCTGGTTGTTTCTCTTTTATTCTGCTTTCTCCAGGGACTGCCACGTCCATTATACAGACTTTTTTTTCTCTATCTTATCCATAATAGGGTAGGATAGGATAGGATAAGACAACAGGATAGGACAGGACAGGATAGCATAGGATAGGATACCATAGGATAGCATAGGACAGCATAGGGTAGCATAGGACAGGACAGATAGGATAAGACAGGACAGGACAGGACAGAATAAAATATTGTCACTTTAACAGATAACAGATAATCAGAGTTGGAAGGGACCTTGTAGGTCATCTAGTCCAACCCCTTGCCCAAGCAGGAGACCCTACACCATTTCTGACAAATGGCAGTCCAATCTCTTCTTTAAATGTAGAATAGAATAGAATTCTTTATTGGCCAAGCGTGATTGGACACACAAGGAATTTGTTTTGGTGCAAATCGTGGTGGTATTCGACCGGTTCTGGAGAGCTGGAGCGGCACTGAACCGGTTCTCTTCACTGCTGTGTTTGGCTCACTCGCCCGCCCGGGCTCCCATACTCACTTTTATGGCCAGAATTCAAAGCGTAGCTGCTTTGCGCGGCGCAGAATAGCGCCGCGTGGCAGCTGCTGCAGCGACCAGCATCGTGCAGGCTTGCAGGAGGCAAGTTAGAACGCCTCTGCGCCTGCGCAAAGTGCGTGTTTGGCGCGTGCGTGCAAGCAAAGTGTGCACGCGTGCAAATCGCGGCCACCAAGCCGCGCCCACCGAACCGGTGGCAACTTTAGTCGAATACCACCACTGGTGCAAATGCTCTCAACAAGGACAAACAGGCTTAAAAACAGCTTCTATCCCAGGGCAGTAGCTCTGTTGAATTCTGTTGTATAGTGCAGTGTTGGTGCGGTGTCGGGGGGGCGGGGGGTTCAGTTCAATGTGTGGAGACTGAAGGATGTGTGTTTGTGTTTATTTTCATGGTCATGATGTGCACTGAAGATGGTGTTTGATTTCGTTGTTCGAGGTGCAATGAAAAACTAAACTAAACTAAACTAAACTAAACTAAACTAAACTAAACTAAACTAAACTAAACTTCCATAGACATCTTCTATATAGATGCTTCAAAATCTCCTCCCAGCCAGGAGCAACACAAATAGAGACCCTGAAGGGTTGTGTGGAGTCTCTAACAAGGCTTCGGTTGTCAGGTTGGGCGGGGAGGGGGAGGGGTGTTGTTGTATGGCAGGTGCCTGTCTGTTTGAATACTAAAGTCCCCGAGCACTTTAACTTCCTCATTTTGTGTTTACTTTATCTATTTTCTGATCTCGGAAAAGCTCTGACTTGCAGGCAAATGAGAGCTACCAAGATGATTAGGGAACTGGAGGCTAAAACATATGAAGAACGGTTGCTGGAACTGGGAATGTCTAGTCTAATGAAAAGAAGGACTAGGGGAGACATGATAGCAGCGTTCCAGTATCTCAGGGGCTGCCCCAAAGAAGAGGGAGTCAAGCTGTTCTCCAAAGCACCCGGAGGCAAGACAAGAAGCCATGGGTGGAAACTAACCAAGGAGAGAAGCAACTTAGAACTAAGGAGGAATTTCCTGACAGGGAGAACAATTAACCAGTGGAACTGCTTGCCACTAGAAGTTCTGAATGCTCCAACACTGGGAGTTTTTAAGAAGAGATTGGACAGCCATTTGTCTGAAGTGATGTAGGGTTTCCTGCCTAAGCAGGGGGTTAGACTAGAAGACCTCCAAGGTCCCTTCCAACTCTGTTATTCTATTCTATTCTGTTCTATTCTATTCTATTCTATTCTATTCTATTCTATTCTATTCTATTCTATTCTATTCTATTCTATTCCCTATTCTATTCCATTCTGTATTGTATTGTATTGTATTGTATTGTATTCTATTCCATTCCCTATTCTATTCTATTCTATTCTATTCTATTCTATATTCTATTCTATTCTATTCTATTCCCTATTCTATTCCATTCCCTATTGTATTGTATTGTATTGTATTGTGTTGTGTTGTGTTGTGTTGTGTTCTGTTCTGTTCTGTTCTGTTCTGTTCTGTTCTATTCACCAAAAAAGCTAATGCAATCCTAAATTGTATTAACAGAGGTATACAATCAAGATCAAGGGAGGTACTAATACCACTCTATAAAGCCTTAGTAAGACCACACCTAGAGTACTGCATCCACTTTTGTTCACATTATAAAAAAAAAGTTGTTGAGACTCTAGAAAAAGTACAGAGAAGAGCAACCTGGATGATGAGGGGACTGGAGGCTAAAACATACGATGAACGGTTGCAGGAACTGGGCCTGGCTAGTCTAATGAAGAGAAGGACCAGGGGAGACATGATAGCGGTCTTCCAATATTTGAGGGGCTGCCACAGGGAGGAGGAGGGGGTCAAGCTACTTTCTAAAGCGCCTGTAGGCCAAGACAAGGAATAATGGATGGAAACTGAACAAGGAGAGATTCAACCTAGAAATAAGGAGAAACTTTCTGACAGTGAGAGCAATCCACCCACGGAACGGAAGTTGCTTTCAGAAGTTGTGGGAACGCCATCCCTTGAGGCTCTCAAGAAGAGATTGGACTGCCATTTGTCCTTTGGAGGTGTTTTTTTTCCCCCCAGGACTGGACAGCTCCCTGTCTGGAATGGTATATAATAGGGGTCTCCCGTTGGGGGGGGGGGGGGGTGGGGGTGGGCTAGACGACCTCCAGGGTCCCTTCCAAGCTCTACTCCGATTGATGGGTTGAATCAGACTCCAGCACCCTCCCCTCCGCTCCATTTGGCCTTGGGAAGACTGAACCCACCTCCGCCCCTCTTGAGGGTCAGGGGGCAATCCAGCAGCAGCCCCCCCCCCCCCCCCCCCCGCCCAAGCCGGAACCGGAGACTGCTGCGGGGTTGCAGGCTGCAGAGCTCGGCTGGGCTCTATCTCCGGATCCGTCCACCTGCCGGCGTTCCTTTACCCGGCGACAAACGGCGTCACCCCCGCTCGATTTTCTGATTGGTCGCCGAGCGGGGGGGCGGCCCACCTCCCACTTCCCTCCCCCCCCCGCGCCAGCCCGACGGCTGAGGCTAAATTACCCCGCGGGACACAAGTCGCTTCCACTTTCAGTCTGGGCGACTCTGCGCGACTCTCTGCATGGCTGTTCAAGGCAACGGAGCGGGGGCCTCGGTGGGGCTGGCGCGGCTGCTGGCGCTAATGCTCCTGGCCCAGGCTGAACTCGGGAGAGGTAAGGGCGCGCGGGGGGGGGGGGCGCCGGGGACGAGGGGGGGGGGGAGGGAGGTTGGACCCCGGGGGGGGGGGGGGGGGGGGTGGGTGGGAAGGAAAAGAAGCCGAGGCTGTAACTTTCCCCCCCTCCCTCCCTCCCTCCCTCGGAAAAAAGAGCAGGTGAATCCCTTTGAGCCTTTCAAGAAGAGATTTGGACGGCCATCGGTCAGAAAAGGGGTAGGGTCCTCCCGCTCGGGGGGCGCGGGGGTTGGACAAGATGACCTCCAGGGTCCCTTCCAACTCTGAGGATCCGTTATCGGCTATCTCTGCACACTCCCCGACTTTTCCCCCCTCCCGTTTTCCGAGTTCGCAAAAGTCGTGGGGCGGGACGGGAAACGATTTTCTCCGCGCCCCTCCACCCCCCACCCCCCCCGCGCCCACGATCCGTGGAAAAGTTAGCGGGTGGGTAAGTGGAGTGGAATTCACACGGCCGGCTATTCTAAGAAAGGTGTGTGTGTGTGTGTGTGTGTGTGTGTGTTTCCGTGGCTTCCTGTGCCAACTGCAAGCAACTGGGGGGGGGGAGGGGAAGAACCAGGCAAGCGGGACAGATTCACGGAGTCGGAAAGGGGCCTTGGAGGTCATCTAGTCCAGCCCGCCCCCCGCCCACCTCCCACCCCTGCCCCTAACCCCATTTCTGACCCTCAGTTCTCTTGCCTCGTGCGAATCTAGGCCTTCGGGTGGCGGGCAGGCCCGCGGCGCGTTCAAGGCCCGTTGGCACGCCAACCCCGGGAAAAGGCCCTCTTCTCCGAGTTGGGCAAAGTTTTCCGTGGGAACGCAGCCACCTCCCGAGGGCTGGGGAGAAAAGAAAACAAAACAATCAAAAATAAAATAAAATAAAATTCCACCCCGGCCCCCTTCGCCCTCCCTAAGCGAGAAGAACACGATCCGTCCGGGATCCAGCCTGGGCGCAAAGAGAGATCCAAGCCTGGGGTCCCTTTTCTTGGGCAGCTGCTGAACGTTTTGACCAGCCGACGCCCCCGCGCCGCGCCCGCGGGCCTCGGGGTGGGGGTGGAGGGGCGGGTTGCTGTCGGGGGGGGGGGAAGCAGTCAAGGGGAGGAGTCAACCCCCCCCCTCACCCCGAGGTGGGACGATACTTCTGCCAGCAAGTCCTCCGGGTGGCGCCGCCACCGCCCCGCCCGCTCCCTCCCTCCCTCGCTCAGCAGGCAGATTAACAGAGTTGGAAGGGACCTTGTAGGTCATCTAGCCCATCCCCACCTCCCACCCCGCCCAAGCAGGAAACCCTGCCTGCACCATTTCTGCCCAATCTCTTCTTTAAAAAAAAAAAAAAAAGCTTTATTGAGTTTTTTTTCCATTTATACATAATAAACCAATACTTATTCAACAGTGCTGTGACGTTATATATACGTTTATGTCTCCTGTCTAAACTTACAATACGCAATACTTTCATGCCCTCGTAGCTATTATAAACATTATTTATTTACATGTTCTATTCTTATATGTATGGTCAATCCAAATATACCATGTTTCCCATATTGAGTTGTATTCCATGTCTGCCTTCCCTTTTGGTTCCATAGTTAATTTGTCCTTTTCCACCCACTCTAACTTTTTTTTTTTTTTTTAAATTATTATTAAGCCTTCAGGTGCTGGGGAGCTTTTCTTCCAGTACTGATCAAAAGAAATGTCTCTTCTTGAAAGCTTCCAGGGATGAAGCTGCCATAACTTCTGAAGGCAACTTCTGTTCCATGGGTTGATTGTTCTCACTGTCAGAAAAATTCTCCTTATTTCCCGGTTGAATCTCTCCTCGTTCAGTTTCCATCCATTATTCCTTGTCTGGCCTTGGGGGGGGGGGGGGGGGCGGGCTTTGGAAAATAGCTTGACCCCTTCCTCCTTTTGGGGCAGCCCTTCAAATATTGGAATATCCTGCTTTCCTGTCTCCCCTGGTCCTTCTCTTCCCTAGACTAGCCAGGCCCAGTTCCTGCAACCTATGTTTTAGTCTCCAATCCCCTAATCATCCTGGTTGCTCTTCTCTGCACTTTTTCTACAGCAGGGGCCTTCAAACTTGACACCTTCAAGACTTGTGGACTTCAGCTCCCAGAATTCCTCCTCCAGTTCACGTTAGCTGAGGAATTCTGGGAGTTGAAGTCCACAAGTACTTAAAGTTGCCAAATTTGGAGACCCCTGTTCTAGAGTAAGGGTCGCCAACCAGGAGAAAATTTGGGTGGTCCGCATAGAAACGTCACCCCAAAAGCAGCCCCCCCCAAGCAATCCTGTGGCCGTGCATCACTTGCATTGCGAACAACACGAGATAGTGAGGGGAGGGAGGAAAGGGCAAAGGGGGAGGGGGAACTTGCCTGGCCACTGGGTTGCTTCTTTCCGCTTCTTTCTTCTTCTGCTTTTGGCTGCACGCAAGGAAAACAGCAAAAGTCCTTCTTTCTCTCCCCCATACTCTGCCAGAAATGAGTCTTTGGGACCCTGCAAGGCCTCCTGCTCCAAGAGGCTGCGCGGGCACAACAAGTCTCACCAAGATTCATTCATGGCGGAGTTTGGGGGAGAGAAAAAAAAAAAGGCTTCTGCTGCTTCTGCTGTTTTCCTTGCATGAAGCCAAAAGTTTCTCCCTCTTTCTCTTTCTCCCCCTGAGAAACGGAGTTGGAGATGGTATCCTGTGATCCCAAATAAAGAAGGGTAGATCGGTAGGAAAATGAGGTGGGGAATTTTCCTGCAGACTTTTTTTTTTTTTTCGAGATTTTCCCAGGGTCTCTGGTCCGTGGGATTTAAAATTATGAGATTGGGGGTCCCTGAGGCCCAAAAGGTTGGCGACTCCTCTTCTAGAATCTACCCAAGACCCCTTCTCCCTCCCACCCCCTTTTTTTCATGGGGTGGGGGTGGGGTAGACTGTGGCCCTATGGGAGGCATGCCGACCCCTTCCGGTGGACTCAACGGCTGGAGAGACCTTAGATTTGACTTAGATTAACAGAGTTGGAAGGGACCTTGTAGGTCATCTAGTCCAACCCCTCCCCCGCCCAATCAGGAGACCCTATACCAGGGATCCCCAAACTTGGCAACTTTAAGACTTGTGGACTTCAACTCCCAGAATTCTCCAGCCAACTATGCCTGCTTTTTTCTCTCTCTTAATCTTTAACATTTGCTAGACCAATACTCGAATACAGTTCATCAGTCTGGAACCCTCATTACGTATCTGATATTAGCACAATTGAGAAAGTCCAGAAATATTTCACAAGAAGAGTTCTCCACTCCTCTACTCGTTGTAGAATACCTTATGCCACCAGACTTGAAATTCTAGAACTAGAAAACCTTGAATTACGCCGTCTTCGGTCTGATTTAAGCATGGTATATAAAATCATACATTGCAATGTCCTACCTGTCAATGAATACTTCAGCTTCAACCATAACAACACAAGAGCACACAATAGATACAAACTCAAAGTAAACCGCACCAAACTTGATTGCAGGAAATACGACTTCAGCAATAGAGTGGTCAATGTCTGGAATCCTCTACCCGACTCTGTAGTTTCTTCCCCAAACCCCAAAAACTTTAACCTTAGACTGTCTACTATTGACCTCACCCCTTTCCTAAGAGGTCTGTAGGGGGCGTGCATAAGCGCACCAACGTGCCTACCATCCCTGTCCTATTGTTTCTCTTATTCTTCTTTTATTTTTCTTATATGTACCCATTTCATGTATTCACAACTATGTATACACTTATACTTATTATCTTGTAAACAATTGGCAAATCAAATAAATAAATAAAATAAATAAATCTCTTAAGAGAGATTGCAGAGGAAGGAATTACCAGAGAGTCAACTATGCTGGCTGGAGAATTCTGGGAGTTGAAGTCCACAAGTCTTAAAAGTTGCCAAGTTGGGAGACCTCTGATCTATGAGGAGGGAGGGAGGGCTCCTCTCTTGACCATTTCTGATCGCTCGCTCCCTCCCTCCCTCCCTCCCTCCTGTTTCCAGCCCAGGAAGTCACTGACCCTGGCGTGGAGATCTTGTCCCAGGTGGCTTTTGTCCAGAAGACGCGCCTGAACACCAGCACCAGCTCTGAGTTCATGTTCGAGTTCAACGACGATGAGATTTTCCACGTGGACCTGGAGCAGAGGGAGACCATCTGGCGCCTGCCCGAGTTCGGGCGCTTCACCAGCTTCCAAGCCGAGGGAGCCCAAGGGAACATCGCTGTCTTGCAGACCAACTTGGACATCCTGATGAAGAGATCCAACTTCACGCCCGCCACTAATGGTGAGAGGGACAGGGGTTTTGTTTTGTTTTCTCTTCTATCTCTCTCTTCTCTTCCTTCCTCCTTGTCCCCCGCATTCCTGGGAGGGGAGTTTAAAAAAGTCAAAACGGGGGACACGACTCTGGAGTTGTGGAAGCTTTCCTTTCTCAGGAGGAGCTGCCTGCCTTCTGGGCTCTTTCAACCCCCTCCCTCCCACTCTCTTGCTGCTCCCCCTGGATGAGCCCCCTTGAAATGCGGAGGATATTTGGGGAGAGGGAAGGTTGCACCAGATGGATCTCCGGAAGATGCTTCCCCATGAACGCAACTGATGAAGGCAGGGGGTGGGGGGTGAGGGGATTCAGCCTCTTCGTTTTGCCCTCCGTGTAACTCTCTCTTCTCTCTCTCTCGCTCTTCTCTCTTTCCTTTCTCACTCTCTTTCCCCTTCTCTCTTCTCTCTCTCTCTATTCTCTTTCCTCTTCTCTCTCTCTCTTCTCTCTTTCCTCTCTCACTCTCTCTCCCCTTCTCTTTTCTCTCTCTTTCTATTCTCTCTTTCCTCTCTCACTCTCTCTTTTCTCTCTCTTCTCTCTTTCCTTTCTAACTCTCTCTCCCCTTCTCTCTCCTCTCTCTTTCTATTCTCTCTTTCCTCTCTCACCCTCTCCTCTCTCTCTTCTCTCTTTCCCTTCTCACTCTCTCTTTTCTCTCTCTTCTCTCTCTCTTCTCTCTTCCCTCTTTCACTCTCTCTCCCCTTCTCTCTCTTCTCTCTCTTTCAACTCTTTCCCCTCTCTCTTC